GCATGCCTGTCTCCTGCCGCTGCGACTGATGCCAGAGCTCAAGCAGAGTATCCCTCTCTGCTTCCACTCATGAGAGTATTGCCACGTCTGATTGACTTGACAGATGCTGACCGTCTCCAAGCCATCGATGACCAGTGGAGGAGATTGCCTCTTGTGAGCCTTGATGAAGACACTAAGACAATGACTGTGGATGAATTCTGGCACCATCTCTCCACTTTGGAGGACTTTGGTGCAAGAAGGGTGTTCAGGGAACTGGAGTTTTCCCTTGATGCACTTGTGTTTCCTCATTCAAATGCATCTTGTGAGCGTGTGTTTTCCAAAGTGAATCTAATCAAAACAAAACCACGAAACCGACTCATCACAGACACGCTTAACGGGCTCATGCACACATCAGAGTGTGTGAAGATGGCAGGTAGATGTGCCAATTTCAAGACAATAACCACGATGCTGCGCTCCATGACAACATCAAACCTGTACTGTAAAAGGACTGCCCCCGCCCAGCAGGATGCAGCAGACTCAGGCAGTGACGCAGAGCTGGAGCTTGAACTTTAAGCATAATTATTTATTTTTAATCAACCTAGCTGATGGCCTAAACTGTTTCATGCACATTATGAACAGGCTTCTAGTTGTGTCATTTATCATGTAATGTAATATCATTATTAATCTAAACAATAGTCTCCTCTCTGCTCTTTTTCTATTCATTCAGAAAATTGCAAAAGAGAGATATGACGTGACATGACTGACGCAGACCGGACAGCCCATGAAGACCAAGACGATTAGAGCTGCACACCACTATTATAATTTTGTGCAATTTTCATTGCATCCCTAGTTTTTTTGTCACCATTACTCTGGGGAGGTTGGGGATTGGTGAACTGGAAAAACATGTACCCTTGTTTTATTTCATTTGTTCATTTATTTTATTATTGATTTGTTATTTTTGACTTTTGCAGAGTTACCTCTTTTATAAAATTGTTACATGCACATCACTGTAAGTTATAACCTGGCAACAGTCAGGCACTCTTTAAGTTTGAATAGCCTATGTGCAGAGAGAGAGAGAGAGAATGATGTTCTGTTATTACTCATGTGTGAGGACAAATTAATTTTAATGTCTAGCACTGGTGGATAGACTATCCAATTGCAGCAGTGTCCCAGTCAAGATATTTGATTTTGCAAAATAAGTCTTTATTTTCTTGTCAGTTATCATGAATACTGTTCCTCTATGACAAAAAAAGTAAACCTGCTATGTCTATTCCCTAACAGTAGGTGGCCTCCAGGCCTTATGATTTGGCTCATTAGTTCCCACCTGTCATTTGTGTATGGGGGACACCTCAGTGTAACGCAACTGTGAGTTGGGGCTGGCTGGCAGCTGCTGATGTGGTGCCGTGATCTAACTGCGTGTTAGTTCACATCTTCTCCACACCGGCGCACTGACACACGACCGACATTTCATTGTCCAACTTGCTGATTAATCTGTAAGATTAACTTTTTAGGTTAAGTAGTATTCAAAATGGAGAACGTCACCCATCCTGACGCAATTCTGATTGCGGACCTGCGACAGCAACTTGATGCCTCCAGGAGAAACGAGGAAAGTTTAATCAAAGAGAATAAACAGTTTCAGCAACGGGTTTCAGCTGTGGACAAACAACTGTCCACCGAAAAGTCCCTCAGAGAGCAGAAGGAGAACGAACTGAGGTTTGAAAAGACTGAGTCAGTCAACAAGAAACTGACTTCGGAGGTGCAGACGTTGCAGCGCGAGGTAACAGTGTTGACAGGCAAAAACACGTCTACCTTAAAGAGACTGGAGGAGCAGAAACAACTGCTGAAACAAAAGGACGCAGAACATGAGATGGCAGCAGTTAAAAAAACTGAAAACTCAATTCGAGTTTTACACAGAGGAGGCAAAACAACTGAAGAAGATGCCATTAGAGCCCAACAAAAATCAGCAGAACTGAGGAAGGAGATTGAAAACCAAACACAACAAAATAAAATTCAGCACGATGATAACGGTTGCTTGAAAAGGCAAATTAAAAGCCTGCAAAGTGACAAAAATGAGCTGAAATTGTCACAAACAGAAATGAGCAGCCAGGTGGATAGTGGCTAGTTGACTGGTTAGTTGATTCAAAACACATTTATACTTGTGTGGTAGTGTGTCTTTGTAACTCTGCAAAACACTGGTCGGCAGTGGGGTTTTTGTGAAGTGCTGTAAAGGTAAGTTGATTCAAAACACACAAACACACATTAAACATGGCTTCAAAGAGACACATTTCAAACACATTCATCCCACATGCTAATGTTATTAGCACGCACAGATGGCATTTTACATTGTATAAATTAGCTTAGCGGCTAGCTGACATTTCCTCTATTGACCGCCAGGGACAACAGCAACATTTAACAAAGGCAACGTTACATAATTTGGCTCCATTACAACTCACAAGGTTCACTGACAAAACAACTGTCCTATACTAAACACGTTTTCCAAACAAATATAACATGCTAACGTTATTAGCACAAGTCTATGGTATTTTACATTGTATAAATTAGCCTAGCAACTAGTGGAGATTTCCTCTGCTCATATGAAGCCAGGATAAATCACACACAGGACATAAAATGCAATTTTATGGAGGCTTTGCTTTCGTCACAATTTATTGTCTCTTTGTTGTGATGGTCCAAAGGACAGAGGGATGTCATATGCTGTAAAGCCCTGTGAGGCAAATTGTGATTTGTGATATTGGGCTTTATAAATAAAATTGATTGATTGATTGATTGATATGTGAAATTAAAGTTGGGTCATTATATGAAAATGTGCCATTTCCCATTCTTAATGTTTGATTTTCAAAGTACTGTTTTAAAACTATTTATGACCCTTTTTGGATTAAATAGATCCTTACCTATCAGAAATAGGTGCTGTGCCATCTCAGGCTATCTTATTTTTTTCCACATTTAATCAACATGCATATGTGTGTTTTGTCAACCCTGTTACCATAAACCAATTAATGTTTGAAAATGTTTTAAATGCATATTTATAACAAATCTGATATACTTTGAAGGATAAATCTCCCCTTGTTACACTGAGTGTGTTGTACAGTGGGAATATTGAGGTGTTTATGTTTTATCCATGGATGAATATGCACATTTGCAATTGACATTAGTCTCACCACCAGACAATCAGAGATCTCCGCCTTCGCGTCTAAAGACTGACTTGTGAGTCTAATTGACATTGAATCTTGCATCTTTCTTTTTAAGAACAGAATATGGAAACAAAACAATAATACCCACATTTTATTCTGTAGATTACTGGTTTCTTTTACTTAACATATAAAATGAGTTGATTTGACATTTATCTTTTCATTTTTTGAATTATACTAGAAAATTACACAAGTAACAGGTTTGACACCTTAGTAACAGGGTTGACAACAGTTACCATACTGATAGTTTAAGTTGCAGCTTTGGGTCTAATGGAGATAATGGGACATTCATAAACCTTTAATTCAACATGACTAATCAAAGAATATTTATTGAGACACATTTATTGAGAGGTTTAAGCATTTTTCAAAACATGAAGGATACTCAAAGGACAGTCACAATGAATTTGATCCACTGAACATGTTTGGCTTGCTCCGAAAGTTGCATCATTTCCTGGGAGTGAAATCAGCTTCCTTTTGTGAACATGCTGGTGAAAAGACAAGTAAGCGTTCTCTTATTTTCATGATTTTTCAAATATATTTTCATGTACTCACAAAACCATACTTTTGTCAACCCTGTTACCATCAACCCTGTTAAGCTAGAATGGTAACAGGGTTGATGAAAAATGTTCTTGGCAGCTATTACTAGCCATGTGGTGAAGGTCATGAGACCACATGGTGTGCATTCATTAGAGAATTATATCATGTTATTTATGTACATTAAAAATTTGTAAAAAAAAAATATCTTTTTAACGTGTCCTTTTGTGGAAACAGGGCTGACACAATAAGCTTGTTCTTCTCTGTCAAACATTATATAACTCTAAGAAAAATCATGAAAATAAGAGGATACTTAATTGTCTTTTCACCAGCATGTTCACAAAAGGAAGCTGATTTCACTCCAAGGAAATGATGCAACTTTCGGAGCAGGCCATTATCTCAGAAGGGGTGTTTTCATTAAAAGTAACAGGGTTGACGACTACCTGGCGACCCGACTAAATTGATGCTTTTTACAACATTTTACAGATATTAATAATAAAACCCATTCATGAGTAATGAAAAGACGCTTGAGGCTTTATATATAAGTTTATATTTTTATGATAGTTTGACTTTTTTGGGCCTTAATAGCTAGTAAAAGTAGAACAATCATTGTTGAGCGACAGGCCATTTTTACAGCTTTTGAATGATGCTCCATACAAAAAGTTGTTTAAAACAACTTTGAAAACAAAATAAATAAACTTTTACATTGTTTTAATGTTACAAGAGATATCATGGAAAATAAATTATAGTGTATTTATTGTTTATTGACATTTATAGCACAGTTTTGTTCGAGGGACACAAAATGGCAAGTCGTATAATGACCCAGTTACTGTCCTTGAAGAGAGGACGAGTTTGGCAGATTATGGGACCCAACAACAAAACGTGTATGTCTGCAGTCAGCACTTCATTTCAGCTAAGTTTAATGTAATGTTAACCATTTCCAAACAATCGTAGACTATGTCAGGGGTATCAGATTAATTGTTTAAACGCTAGTGAACTTTGTACTACATTTGTAATTTGTGTAGATTTCCTCGCAACACGTACAAAAGTACACATTCATTACCTTAGTAGAAGTACAGATACTTGTGTACAAAAGTCTGGTAAAAGTAGAAGTTCTGATTAAAGTTCTTTACTGAGTACGGTATATGTAAAAACAAAGTGCTGGCTCTGAAATGTACTCCAAGCATAAAATAAAATATAGCTCTCTGAAGGACATTTCTGTTGCCTGTTTCTGTGCAAAGCTAAAAGAACCTCACGTCATATTGGACCAACAACAATTAGATGATTGATCGATTTATTGCCAACTTTGATGTTTATGTTTAATTTATCATTTTGAGTCATTTTTAAGAAGAAAAAAGTCCAGATTCTCTGATTACAGATCCTCAAATGTGAATATTATTGGGAAGGTGTGCAATGATGCAAAATAAAAATAATCTTTAATTCCCCTCAGAATAGTGGCAAACTAATAGTGGCAGTAGCCTCCAGGTCTCCTCAAGTTTAAATTAACTGCTTTAGCTCTCTTACTTATTCCCATGTTTTTAACTGTTTTCCCTAGGCTTGAAAAATGAAGAAAAGGACCACCGAGATTACATACCCTCGCTTTTCCCTGCCAGAAAGACGCAGTCTGCAGCCGCAAAACTGCAAAGGCTGGAGCGCAGGACACCACCAGACGCCCCAGTACTAGCAACCACAGCACCAGAGGCTCCATGCCTTCCTCAGAGTGTGGAGAATGAGGTTTTCAATTTAAGGAGAGAGAGGGATGAGGCCAGGAAGGAGTGAGATGAAGCTGTGCAACAACTGTGAGAGAAAATTACATCAAATGCAAGCTGATGACTGGGCTGACGTGGACACTGTTTTACACCTTGCACCAGTATCTGGTGCAGTTTGTAAAGCCACAAGAGACATCCAAACATTCGACACAAGATGAGCTCTTCATAACACTGGTGAAACTGCGGTAGAACCCTTCAACGGACTTTATATGTGGAATACTTGACTTGGCACACAACACTTTTCTTGATGTGTTCTCCAGGTGGCTCGATCTGCTGTATGCAAAAATTTCATTTTTGATTGCTTGGCCTGACAGAGAATGCATCAGGAACACAGTACCAGCTGAAGTTCTTTTGCAATACCCCAGATTGACGTCTATCATTGACTGCTTTGAGATCAGAATCCAACATTCAAAGAAGCTGAAAACTAGGTCAGACATTTTTGCTTTTCATCAGATGTCAGAATAACATTACTGACCTAGTTATTTCTTTGTATAGGGTCAAGAATGTAAACTATTCCCATATTAATGTTACAAAAATATTGGTCTTTTCTCACAGAGCAATGACCTACTCTAAGTACAAAAACTGGACCACAGTCAAGTACTTCATTGCATGTCATCCATCTGGTGCCATCACATATGTCTCCAAAGGCTGGGGTGGGAGAGCATCAGATGTTCACATTATGAGGAACTCTGATTTCCTGCCTCAGAGATACCTACACGCTGGAGATCAGGTAAGATTTTAACCATACCTTTTATACTCTTCTTGTTTTGTTTTTCCTAAACAGATTCTTCTCAGCGTGTTTATTGTTTCCCTGTAGTTCCCATGTTAATTTGTCAGTGAAAACACAGTATATTTATGCTGTTCATTTCAGATACTTGCTGACCGAGGCGTCACCTTGAGAGAGGACTTTGCTGTTCTGGGTGTACAACTGATTACGCCATCATTCACGCGGGGAAGAAAACAGCTGTCAGCAGAGGATGTGGCAAATTCTCGTGTGACCTCAAACATTAGAATTCACATAGATAAATATTGTGTCAGCAGTCAGCTCTTCAGTATATGAATGTGTGAGTAATCAGATATATCAGTTGTAATAGTTTTATTTTATGACTGTTCCACCTGTTGATTGTTTTTCCAGAGGTATTTCATTTCTTTTCTTTTTTCAAGTACTTGCAAAACCATACTTTTGTTAACCCTGTTATGTCAACCCTGTTACGCTAGAATGGTAACAGGGTTGACGAAAAATGTTCTTGGCAGCCATTACTAGCCATGTGGTGAAGGTCATGAGACCACATGGTGTGCATTCATTAGAGGCTTATATCATGTTATTTATGTACATTAAAAATTTCTAACAAATATCTTTTTAACGTGTCCTTTTGTGAAAACAGGGCTGACACAATAAGCTCGTCCCCTTCTGTCAAACATTATATAACTATAAGAAAAATCATGAAAAGAAGAGGACACTTACTTGTCTTTTCACCAGCATGTTCACAAAAGGAAGCTGATTTCACTCCCAGGAAATGATGCAACTTTCGGAGCAGGCCAAACATGTTCAATGGATCAAATTCATTGTGACTGTCCTTTTAATATCCTTCATGTTTTGAAAAATGCTAAAACCTCTCAATAAATGTCTCCAAAATATTCTTTGATTAGTCATGTTGAATTAAAGGTTTATGAATGTCCCATTATCTCCATAAGACCCAAAGCTGCAACTTAAACTATCAGTATGGTAACTGTTGTCAACCCTGTTACTGAGGTGTCAGCCCTGTTACTTGTATAATATTCTAGTATAATTCAAAAAATGAAAAGACAAATGTCAAATCAACTCATTTTATATGTTAAGTAAAAGAAACCAGTAATCTACAGAATGAAATGTGGGTATT